ATCAGAAGGACAGGAGGAAATTTTTAGAATGACCATTAGATTATCCATTAGATCCGGGTTTTGAATATTTTGTCGGTACTGTCGGACTTCTTCTTAACGTGCAATTGAGATTCTTAAACTGTTGCAAAGGAAAATTGATATGAACTCATAGACAACAGTTCATAAACCGCATTCGACTGCCACTACGAATGTTCAAATGGAAGTGGAATGCTGCCGCATTCAAAAAGGGTCAGATCAACGGCAAATGCTTTATCCTTTTACTTTCATCCTAGCTCCCTGATACCTGGTTGATTTAAGAAGGATGAGGGTTCGGTCGGCCTAAACAGAGTGGATCTTTAATGCGTTGCGGCTCCCCTCGAGCCAAAAAAGGAAGCATTTTTGAAACCACTTGATCATGTCAGTGAAGTGCGTGAGCGCTTTCCGCTACTGCAGTTGTGAGTGTGGTGCAGGGGTTGTAATCAGAGGACAGTGGAAATTTTTAGAATGACCATTAGATTATCCATTAGATCCGGGTTTTGAATATTTTGTCGGTACTGTCGGACTTCTTCTTTTTAACGTGCAATTGAGATTCTTAAACTGTTGCAAAGGAAAATTGATATGAACTCATAGACAACAGTTCATAAACGAATTCAGGTGAATCTTGACTCGGACACACGAGCCGCCACCAAAGCAGCGATGGAAAGTGGTTGCAAGACGGACACGTTCAGCTTGGCGCAAAGTCGGATCGAACAGCTGATGGCCAAAGACTCGTATCGGCGATTCCTCAAGGACAGCCTCTACCTCGATCTTGTCGATGGTGTCGAAAATGGTGAAAATACTCCCAAAATCAGCCAAAAATAGCTGGGGGTGATGTTTTCACTTGCTCCATTTTATACCAACATCATACCAGTCTTTGCGGGTCCCGAGTGATTTTCAACTTGCATCCAACTATTCGTTCTGTTCTGCTGTCTAACCCACTAGAAGAAAAGTGCGTCGTATTGCCTTTGGTGTGATGTAAGACCTTCGGCTCTACGGTACCGTCCTCGCGGCTGGTGCCAAAGGGAAGCAGACTGTGGAACTGACCGTAATACTGTCTGCACATTGCATGCTACTTCATTTCATGATGCTAATAACATTGTTCATGTCGTCTCTATATTTTTGACTCACTATAGTTAATAATAAGGGTTCGGCACTATATTAAATTATCTAGAGTAAGCGCACGCTGATTTTTCTGTTCTGCGTGATCGTTTCCAAAACGCGCGCAATTTTTCGTGTACAAAGTCTCTTTAGCAGTAATGGCCTATTGATTTTACTTCTCTTTTTACTTGTCTTACACTACTTATGCTCAGCTTCACAATGCTGCAATGTTTCATCGAGTTTTAGACGTCACCGAACGTTCGACTCGTTTCGATCTCGTTTTCTCAATATGTAAAGAAGTATTTCGCATGCAGCTTGGCTTTATTGATCTTCTATAATTCTCATTTTCTTCTCATTCATCGAATCATCCATTCATCTTGGACTCTCAATAGGAACCCTTGTTCCTGTCTCTTCTAGTGGTATTTGAACGATATGCGTGCTGTCATTCTGTCTGTATGTGGTCATCGAGATTATAGCTATAATAGAAATAGTCTTTGTGAGGCTGATAGCACGGCGGTTCCTCCGCGTGCTGTCGCATCCTCACCTATTATGAGCGGATTAATTTTATCGTGTACTTATGTAAAGTGTAATAAATTTTAATGTTTGCTTATTGCATAGCTTGGTCGAACAGTTTCTACCAAATTCCATCCGCATCTATCAACGCTCCACCCTTAGGCACCCATTCTAAAGGAATCGTCAACAGAAAAATCTCGCCTCTATTCTCAGTAGAATTCTATACTTTTGCCCCTTTCACGAGGATAGTTTTGATAGCAAAAAACGGAAAATAACCGTTGTTTTTGATCTTGATCCAAACAACTAGGGAGACCGTAGGAAATTTGATTTTTCGCCGTAAAACTGTTACAACTACTGGCGTTGTGAGTCAACACATACAGGTGAACGGGTTTCACGCTGAAACTTCCTAGAGCCTTACACGTGGCTCCACCTCTGCCATGCGCTTCGCCACAAAAGTACTTCGGTTCCACCCACCGTGGCAGATGCCGTCCAGCAGGTGGGAAGCAACAGCTTTTCACTGAACGATTCCTTTAACCTGTTCTGGGACGTTGATCTGAAGCAAAAAAGAAGCAAATGTTATGATCTGTACAATCCACTGTAGTTGGTAGAGCTCCGAGGATGCGAGGCTATTCGTGCTCGAACTTGTTCTCGGTGCTTATTGTAAGGACATGTAGAGCGTGAGGGTTGTAATTGGTGTTGTGGCATCACGTCAGTAGATTTATTTCTGAACTGTCGCTCTTCAGAGGTCAAAAGCTGAACCCACGATTAGGTCATTGAAGTGCTAGCCGAGGTAGGTAGAATGGTTGAAAGCCCACAGGAATTGCCGAATTTGTATAAAAATGCAATTTGAAATTACCAAGCAAATGTTCCAGGGCTTAATGCACACGAGCCTCCATCCCACACCCGGATTCAGATACTGACCAATTTCGTTATGGGCCAATTTTCGCTTTCGCTCTCTTACCCATGTTTTCT